GATGAGCTTTGTAAAAATCGACGCGTTTCAGAAAGGCGGGGCATAGAGGAGAAACAATAATGTACAGTATGTGGAAAATGTGTTTTTTGAACCTTAAACCGCATAAACACATTTCATTACACCAAATACACAAAATAATGTTCTTTTTAGCAACATCATATGACCCCTTTAAATGCATACCAAGAAAATATAGTGTGAAAAGAAGTATATTCCTCAACCTGTGTGACATGACTGTCTATGTTGAATACACTTTAAAGATAAATCAGTGAATGGAAAAGTTTTGCTTTTGGTATGATAATGATGAAACAAACAAAAAAAAGCTGTATTCTCAAAGGTAATATTGAGTACTTACTGCCATTTTATGGTTACCTGCAAGTATTGCATAATATTGCCATTTCACAAATTATCAAATTAAACATAATTTGACTAACTTTAGAATGTTGATTTGTTTCATGTTTTAATCCTTTTTGCATTAGATTATTTAAATATGTGTATACTAGCTTCTTTGTCACAATTTTTCTCTCTGTCTCTGTGTTTCTCTCCTGTCATTGTAGCAGGTTTTTGTAGAGAGCTGATGTGTTTCCTGTGACTGTGGGCTGCAGAGCACAGTAGTACAGAGCAGAGTCTGATACAGCAGCAGAGGAGATCTTCAGATCCACATGGTTTTGTTCCCTTTTTGTAATGTTAACAGTGAGTCTTGGATCTACAACAGACCGCTGAGCTTCTTTTGCAGTGTCGTAGGTGAGTACAAGAAATTCAGGTTTTGATCTTCCATGCTGACGGTACCAGTGGAGATAATCTGTACCTACAGAATCAGAAAAATTACACGACAAAGTAACACTTGAAGCCTCCTCAGCAAAAACATCTGTTTTGTTTTGGTTTGATGACATTCCCAAAGACAGCAGCTGAAAAAGAAGAGGCAAGTTTGTAGCTTTGTAGTGCTTTTTATTTATTTTTTATAAATAACCGAATAATCAAGCAAATAAATATACATACCGGTTGAGGCACAGAACAGAATAACTGAATGAAGATCCATTGTACAAGTGTTCACTCTGAGAAGTCAGACTGAATCATTTCAACCACAGTCTCTGTCAGACATAATTAGATCATGTCAGATGTAAGTCCCTCCTCTTTTGACACTTCAAGACAAAAGAAGCTTTATTTTGAGGGAATGGTATTTCTTGGAGCCTGGCTCATTATTGCTAAGTGAAACTAATTTTCTGTCCATTATTGTTAAGATTAATTCTAAGTAGTAATAATTCTAAGTGCATCCATAGTGGATTTTGTTATAATAAGTTAAAATTAACTTTAGTCATATTTTAGTGTCAGATAGTCTGTCACCATAAGCTTTATAAAGCAAAACTACATGAAACACATATTTATGTGTAATATGGGGAAGCTTTAGGTTTTTTTTTTTTTGCAAGTGTAACACAATTGAAGTGTTACATACTTGTAGTAAATTTTTGTAAAA